ATTTAACTAAAGCCTTTGATACGGTAAATCATATTGAACTTTGTAACATTTTACCAAGTTTTGGTTTAAATAATAGTAGTTTAGAATAGATTATAAGTTATTTAAATAACAGGAAACAAATTGTGCAAATAATAAACTCTATACGAAGTCCTTAACCCACAGCGAAAATTATGATTCGTTCGTTGTTTAAATCCATATTAGGTATCAGATAATAAAAAATTGTCTTCATAAAATGACCAATCGCCTAATTTACAAATTAAATAATATCATCAATATTCCACATGATATATTGCACGTAATATCGCCATAATAATAGAAAAATAAAATTATGTATTTATATGTTTATACATTAATTATATTGACGCGGGCCCGCGTAWTAGCCGTTTAAATTCAAACGGCCTTTGAGCGGAAACCCGTGCAATTACTTCTCTTTTCAACCGCCAATCGACGACGGACGACACCGACACGCGATAAACGCGCCTGGAACGGTCGATCCGCCGACTCCGAACCGATCGAGTAGAGCGAGTTCTCTGACCGACAATAAACGACACACGCTCCTCACCACCCCGCTATTTTGATTTTCATGTTGACCATTTTCTGGCGGTTGTATTTTCAACCACCACAATAAAAAAATCATAATACCGCGAACTTTTTGTGTTTTTTTTTTCACCACTTCCTACACTAGTGACACCACTGATCCACGCGGTATCCGTCTAGGACCGCCACAATATGTACTACATTGGAATATTGTATTGCATTTTAAAGAAATTTTTAGGTACCCAAAAATGAACATTTATAAAATAAAATGAATATTTCGAATTAACATAATTAGTTTAAAAATAAACGAAATATTTACTTTCAATTTTCAAATGCTTTAAGCAAGTAGGTTTAGGAGGATTTAAATTGCTACGTTGCTTTTGAATAACGCTTTCAATTGAACTTTCGTTAGGTATGTTTATTAAAAGATAACTAACCGCAAAAATCTGATTTGGACTATCGTATAATATTTTAGCACGATTTTTATGTTGTATTTGAACTGTTCTACTTCCAATATATTCTGCTAGCATGATTGTATTGCTTTATTAATTTTGGATTAGAAATTTATATTGGTGTACATAATACTGCATCACACTTGTATTTAATTTTTATGTTACATTTCCATCTTAAATTATTTTTTTGGTTATGATGTATCGTGYACGAGAATCCCCTGTACACTATTTTCTATGCATTATCACCTTTTGTTTTTAATTTAAATATTTCAATCATTATTCAAAAATACTAATAAAAAAGTTGAATTACACAAAATGTACTACGGTTACAGCGTTTAGGTTACGATAACAAACCTCGACTGAAGTATTTGGTCAAATATTTATGTCAATTATTTTGAATTAATATTATGATCATTAATTTAATGTTAAACATAAATGGTATAATTTTTTAAAAATATATTATACTATATTCYAAGAGAGAACATGCCGGTTTTGCACATATAAAAAAAGTTCCGACGACGACAACGTAATCCACAAGCACGTTAATTCAAATATAATCGGTTGCCTTCTACGTTGAGTGGCATCGCCACCTAACGAGAATTTGGTGGGGGATACTCATAGATAACCTATTCTCGAAATTTCATGGCATGTTCTCTCTTACTTAAATAATATAGTTTAAAACTATTGGCATTTTATTATTTTAATTAAATGAATAATGTTAAATATCGCAAGGCAATATGAATATAGTAATTAAACTGCAATGATTTTAATAAACAGATATTCAGTGGAAAAAAAAATGATTAAAAATTATATTTAATAATATATTATATATAAGTATATTATTTACATAATTTTATGTGCACTTTTGAAATTCCGTTAGTTATTGTTAATAGAAATGTATATTAAATTACATAACAACAAAAGCTTCAACACTCATTTAGGTACTTGCATTGTTGGAGACCATTTATTTAGTTGCTAAAATAAGATTTTTCTTTAAATTCCAGCTTTAATGAGTAACTATTTTTCATCTTTTGKTTCTATAGTTGATGCACTATATTGCTCAATAGGTTCCATCGATATTGCATTGGGTTCTGAAGCATTTTCACCAGATTCCGATATTGGCATAGGTTCCATTACCACAATAGATTCCTGTGCTTCGACTATAGTGTCTAAAGCTGCTGAATATTGTTCCTGTATAGGTGTAATAGGGTCAGTTAATGCATTACTAAGTGCTGTTGCATTTACATCAGATTCTGTCGTGTCAATATTTTGCCGTATTTCTGCGATGGAGTGTAGAGCTCCTACACTAGGTTCTGTTGATGGGAATGTTTGTTTTGATACTGCAGCACTTATTCCTGTCGAAATAATCTCTGCTCTAGGTTCTTGTATTTCTATAATAGAGTTTGGTGCAGTTGCATTTGATTCATGTGTAATAGGGTCCGCAGAAGGTTTGGTCACTTGCAYAGGTTGCGATKTCAAAATACTAGGATTTAATGCTGCTCCGCTGAATTGCCCTAGTTCAATGGGTAATATAGTTTGGGGTTTTAGCAATGATTTTTGTGGATAATTTTTTGTTGCTTCGGTGTACTGCCAGTAGCAATGCAACATCGTCATGTACATCAACTCGTATACAATAGCTATATCAAACTCAAGATTAATTAATTAACAAAACTAGTAATACTCATAAATACGTACATTTTGTAAGTAGGTGCAAATTTATATTTTTAGAACTTTATTAGAGCTATTTATCAATTATATATTATACAGTCATATTCTTACCGAGAAAATGCATTATAAACTGAAAATATCTGACTGAAGTCCAGCTTGAACTAAAAAAAAACATATTAAATGTATATAAACTTATAAGGATTATGAATTATTTAAGTATGTCTTTAAAATACTTTTAGTACAACAAAAATAAAACAAATTAGATCAACTTACTTAGAGCTACAGAAAATAAGATGAAACATGTCTAAAACGCAACCGATTCCCGTTATGCTTAATGAATTATGAATGTGATTGGTTATTCCCTAAGAAAAAATATAAAATACGTCATGGTTCATTTATATATTGGTTGCTATTTACTGTATGACATACATATATTATGTCTCTTCCAATTAAATCTAATATCACACCTTTGTTATAATTTAAGGAATTAAGGATCACCTTTTATGCGAATTATTCAAGATGAGCTTAGACACTAATATTGGTAGAAAATATTTTTTAAATTTTGACCCTCTAAGATCCACTCTATTCTTTACTAAAATTAACCTTCTTTATATATTGTTCACATAAAAACATAATACGATAAATTACCATTAATATTGTTCCGATGGCATAAATGGCTCCAATGTAGTGTATTCGATTCATCATATTCATAAACGTCATCGCCTGGTTAAACGTTAGGTAAATATACAAATTACGTGTGAGTGTCTAAATCAATGMAGGTATAGAGAAACTGCCCYTCTCTCAACTTTGGAATTTCGAAACAAAATAAACTTCATTTATTTGTGCTKATTTGTACTTGTAATTCCATCATTTATGCACAATGCCTTCAAAATTTAACCAACTGCGAAAGTCACATGCTTAACATGCCCAGTTTGGGGACAATAATCCTATTCGTATGGAGCCCAATGGGAGAATGYTTACAATTGTTTGCTCCTTAACGCAAAATAACATAACGAATTTAAAACGATTCTCAAAAAAAAACAATGACTTTTCAAAAACTATTGAGAAAACTTCTTACCTTGTTCAACTATATCAATTCATTTTGTTTAATTGAATTTTAAAAAATATGTTCATTTAGTTTAAGAGAATTTTTAAAGAATATTTTTTCTCATTTATTTCTTTACATGAGTACGTATATATTAATTACTATATAATAACTATTAACCAACCTCACCTAAATTAATTTGCACGTTGGTTCAATAATTTAATGTTATTAGTATAAGTGTGCGCGAGGAGGATAATCTGCGAGATATTCTGCTTATCCGAGATCTTATACTATACATTAATATCTACTAATTTTTTGATATAATATTTCAATAATAATATGATAAATAGCCGACAACAGGTATGATATTTCAAAGTATTAAAATCGACAATAATATTATTACTATATACTATTGATACAACTAAGGTTACTGGTTTCTTCTGTGATATACCGACTTATCATATGGTTTGTACTAATTAAAAATTAATCACTAAGTTAAAATGTATTATTGTTGTTATTATTTTAACATTTAACAATTATCTGTACAGTACTAGCTATGCTACGAAGTACAAGGAAGTAGGTAGGTAGTTATATTATACTTCATCTTAAATATATTATTTTTGWGTCTGCTATGGTCAAGGGGGCCCATAGAGACTGATATGTACTGATATCCCGTATAGATAATACAAATATACATATATATCTAGATAGGTGCATATTTGGCACCACATTATACGATTACACAAACCGATGACCTCGAATGGCCCGAGTGGATCGCGTGTGAAATACCTAAAAGAAATCGGTATTATAGTAATTCTAAGAATTGACGTAAAAGAAAACTGGACACGGGGAAATAATCGATATATAAATTATATAATAAAACAAGTGGACCATGTTTTATAATTCTAAAAATAATATACGAAATATTAGATAGAAAATAATATGACTTTTATCTAAATATCATTATTCTGATTTAACAGAGGATATAATCTCATATTATAATAGTGTTAAGTGTTACACTAGTGAGATTGCGCATCGCGAATAATAGGATGTAGCTACAGAGCGATTGCGCGAGCGTGGGCATAGGTGCAACTAGGGGGGTGCTAGGGGGACTTTAGCACCCCCGAAAATTCAAACTCCAATCCTTGATTTGTAAGCAGTAGGTATTTTATTAATTCAAATTTTTATTTTAGAATAATTTATTTATATTTAATGTTTTGAAAATATTAGATGACAACATATTTTGTCATGAGGTCAATAATATAATATTATGACAGGTAAGGTATATTGCATTGGGAATTTGGTTGTGTTAATAGTTATTTTTAAACTGTTATATCTACGTAATCCGCTACCCGCATGTTTTCCATTATATACGTTATCGTTATAAGTTATACCTTTATATGTATAGCTAATAACATTACACGACAGTCAACGACACACGTTATACAGACATACAGTACTGAGTACCGTCAGTACACAAGACGTGAACTGCCAACAGACAACAGTATTCCGTCTCCGTAAATCTGATATTTATTTAAAATGTTAAGTATTTTTTAAAAACGGAAAATTAAAGTAAATCATGAGGAAAACGGAATTAAAGCTGATGCTGATATTGACGATCCTGGACTGGCTGGCATTTCTATTACTAGTACTTGTACTACTCATACAATTCATGCTGATACAATAACTCTTGATTTGGGAAATAAATCACTGTAAATACTTGAAATTTTCACCAAATGTTTATGTTAGTGATATCTATGTACAGTTTAATTTTCAAAAATTTTCGATTTTTTTTTAGTTATTTATAGACCATTGAAATTTTCGATTTTTTTTTAAGTGTTGGTAAAAAAATKTTGGATAACCAAAAAAACTTGAAAATTTAATACAGAGTTTCTCATAAGTTAGTCTTATAGTGATTAAAAAATTATAAGAATACATTGGCACTTTTTTTTTGATAGGCGTTTATAGTTCAAATTTTTACGAAGTCTGTCGAAAATGCGAAAATTTGCAAGTAATTTTGAAGTTTAAAAATCATAAAATTTGTTGTGTTTATAACTTAAAGTGTTAAAAATACAACACTAAGTTTTCCATAAGTTTTCTCCTTCAAGTAGCTGTAAAGAAAACTCGAAGCATCATTATAGGAAAAATDTTAAGTGCGTTTGAATTTTAAATTTTTACGAAATATCGTAACGATAACGATTTATCCTCATACGATTTTTAATATTTGTTATTATTCAAAAAGTATAAGTGGTAGATACTTGAAAATTTTACCAGTTATTTAGATTGGCATCTTTACATGATTTAATTTTCAAAATATTTTGACTTTTTTGAGATATTTATAGACAACTGAAATTTTAAATTTTATTGAAAATTTTTTTTGAAGTGTCGATAAATTTTTTTGCCCTATCAAAATCCTTGAAATTTTAATACAAAGTTCCTCATAAGTTATACTTATAGTGATTAAAAAAATATAAGAATACATATGCACAATTTTGTTTTATTAGCATTTGAAGTTCAAATATTAACTAAAACCATGAATATTTTTTTTTTGTGTCTGTCTTCATGTTTTGGGGAAGTAAAAGTGCTTCGATTCTTGACTTCAGTACCTTATTCGATCAGAAAGTGAATCTAGTTGGTACTTTGGTAGTCAAAAGTAAAAGTTCTTAATATTTTTCTAAATAATCGGGATAAACAAACTAAAAATTAAGGGRAAAACGGGAAATTTTACGCACAATCAGTTTTCGACAAAATCGATTTTTATTTTTGATGTAACATTAAAACAAATCACCATTGATACTGCAATTTTCATCAAATGTTTATATAAGTATATTCTATCCACCATG